TGCAGGGGGCACGGGGTCCCCCTAGGGGTCCTGTACCCCTGCCTTCCTGAGGCCCCTCCAGCCCTCCGCTTGGCAGTTAATCACATTCTTCCTCCCACGATGTTCTGTGCCCCTTGGTTGTCGCCCGTGTATTTCAGGGCCCGGCAGAGTGTCTACACCATAATAAAGACTTAATTGATACTTTTAAATCAATAAATGCACCATTGTACTTGGCTGCTTAACATCGCCACCTTGACTGTGAAGTTAGGAGCCCCGATAGTGGGGTTGTCCTTGAGTGCGCAGATGTGAGGCCGACCTCACACAACTCTCCCCTCCTCCACCTGTCAGCCACGTGACCGTGACTGTGGGCAAGCTGGCAACTCTCAGCTCCCTCATCTGTCAATGAGGCTTTCTGCCACCGGGGTTGCCATGAGGCTGAAATAGGATAATTTCCGTGTTTGGGTAGAATTTCAGCAGTTGGAAACAACAACAGCAATTTTGTCTGATTGAAGCTAAAAGAGTTGTTGACAAAATAGGGAGCAGCTCGCAGGATTGTTGGCAGGGCTAGTGAGCCGGGCCCAGAAGCTCTGCAGCCTGGGTGACGCCCCCACCTCACGCCCAGGAGCTGCCATTGCCGGCTAGTGCTCGGCTGGCTCAGGACGCGGCGGTCCCCCCGCTGCAGCGGGCCACAAACCCAGTCCCCAGGCGCTCCCTCGGTTGTAGAAGGAGTTGCAGCCACGCCTCCCACAGGGCGCTCGCTAGCCGCAGGGGATGCCAGACGAACCGGCATCTGCGCCATCGACTTGCGTAGTGAGGAATGGATTGTGTGTCCTGCGAGGACTGTGGGGCGGGAAGCTCCCCCAGATGGGAAGGGGGCTCCTGATGCCGGGCAGTCGAAGGGTGACAGGCGGCCACAGAGTACACGGACACTAAGGGTCCGCACTGATGTCCAGCCACTGCCAGCACGCGGCTCCTTGGTGAGCTGAGCGGGCAGCGGCTATGGTGGCCCCGCGAGCGGGGTGGGGGCCCGGGCCGGCTTGGGTGGTCTAAATGGTGACAAGTATTTTGGAGATAAGGCAGTGCATCAGTCTGCTGGGACTGCCCAAACAAGGTAACAACAGGAATTTATTCTCTCCCAGCCCTGGAGACGAGAGGTGTGAGATCAGGGTGCTGGCAGGGTCAGTTCCCTCCAGGGCCTGTGAGGGACGGGTCTGTTCTAGGGCCCCCTCCTTGGCTTGCAGGTGGCCGTCTCCACCCTGTGCCTCTTCACATCGTCTTCCCTTTAGGCGTGCCTCTGTGTTCACGTCCCCCCTTTCTATAAGGATGCTAGTCATTTTGGACCAGGTCCACCCTAATGACTTCATTTTAACTTGGTTACCTCTGTAAAACCCCGTCTCCAAATACCTCACATTCTGAGGCATTGTGGATTAGGATTCAGCCTATGAATTTTGAGGGGGGACACAGTTCAGCCCATAAAAATGCCCTGTGTCCAAGTTTCCCCTTTTTTATAAGGACACCAAGCAGATTGGGGTAGGAGCCTCCCCTACTCCAATATGACCTCATTTTAATTCATTATATCTGCAACGACCCTATTTCCAAGTAAGGTCACATTTTGAGATACTGGGAGTTAAGACTTCAGCATGTGAATTTGGGGGTGGGGGTCATAATTCAACCGATAATACAGGGATAAGTCAGGGTGGCTTAGTTGAGGGGTATGGAACAAGGGCAAGCATTAAGGATGAATTCACATGTTTTGACTGAACAATTAGAGAATAGTGGCACATTTAGTAAGGTGAAGAGAAGATAAAGAAATGGAATTCAGGGCCAGAGGTCCAGGTGACATTTCCTATCCCATTCTTTAATGATTGGCTTAGTGAGGGACCTATGCCCCAACCAGGGCCAGTAGGATATAAAGAGAGGATTGCTGCAGGCTTCTGGAAAGATCTTAGCATCAAGAGGCCCTTGAGAGGCTAGGATTACTCTCTCCAGCACCTGAATGGGAAAGCATGTGGCCAAAAGGGTTTCTAGAAGTCATCCTGTGTTTGTGGGTGGATGCAGTCTTTGAACGAGGTCAAAATTGTGGAGAGCAGAGTGAGGCCAAGGGAAGCACCTGGATTCTTGGCCGTGGTACTGAGCCACCAGATCAACAGTTTTGAAGCTCAGCACTCCTGTGAGTTTGCACTTGCGTAAGCTAATAAGGGTCCTTGTTGCTTAGCTGTTTTGAGTTTAGATATCTTGTTATGTGCAGCCAAGAGCATCCTTAAGTGGTAAAATGCATTATCCCCTCCCGTGGGCTGGATGATCTCTGAGGTCTGGGGGGCCACGTTTGATTTGTCTCTATGTCCAGCTCAGGTCCCAGTACTCAGGTCATGCTTGTTGAATGAATCAGTGGATGGATGAGTGTCGTGTGCATTAAGGTGTGGAAACTTCATCATCTTTCAGACTAGCTGTAGTCATTGATAATATATTCTGGCCTCACTCCATGCTGCGAACCAGCTAGTTATGGAGCCAAAGAATGAGAGAGAATGGGAAGAGAATGGATATCTCATGGGGAGAGGATGCTACCCCTCCTCCCTGCATCTCCTGCCATCAGCGCATCTGCTTAGGCCAGAAACCTGGCAGTCTTCTCTTAGCCATCTCTAAAACCCTCCCTCCCCAGATTTGGAGCCGGTCACCCAGTTAATCTTGTCCACCCTACTCTTGAAACATATCTTGGATCCATCCCCTTCTCTCTACTTAGTCCAGGCCACCGAGATCTTTGGACTGTTGTTGTGCCTCCCAGCACGGTGCGAGCTTCCTTGCTAAGCTTCCTTCTAGTTCACTTGCCACTCTGAAGACAGAGCAGTCTTCTAAAAATGTAAACCACACCATGTGCCCCCTTGCTTAAGACCCTCCAGTAGTTTCCCCCTCCATCCGCTCCCCCCCAAAAGTCCAAGTAACAGGCAAATTCATTACCATGACTTCCAAGGCCCCGTGTGACCTCCCTTTCCTGCCCCTCCAACTCCATGCAGCCCCTTCTTCCCTTCCTTGTCGCATTACACCTCCCTCCACGCCGGCCTGCTTTCAATTATGTGGACGCTGTAAGCTTTCTTCTGCCATGCCGTCATGGCACGTGCTTTTCCCTCTGCCTGGAATACTTTCCCACCATTAAAAAAAAAAGTTTTAGATTGGTGGAATGTATTATACTTAATAAGAATATATAAGATACATACATATGCATTGCATACACGAACACACACACAGAGTTTAAAGAATGATTATAAATCTAGCACCCAGCTAAGAATAAGAAGATTAAGACTAGAGGATCCTGTCAGGTGCCCCACCCAGATCTTTCTTCCACCCCTCCCAGAAGTGACCACTGACCTGATATTTGCAATAATTCTTTGTTTTCCTTTGTAGTTTTACAATCTATTTGTAATTCCCCCAAAACATTTATATTTGCATATTTTTGATTTTATATATGGCATCGTACTATATGTATTCTTTTGTTTCTTGCTTATTTTGTTCAATGCTATTTCGTGTGTGAGATTTTATAAGTGTGTTTGCACATTGCTGTAATTCATTCATGTTTGTGATTCTAGTGTTTCATATGATGACTATTCCACAATTTATTTATCTATTCTATTGTGGGTGGGCATCTGGGTTGTTTCCCATTTGGGGCTGTTGTAAGCAATACTACATGGAGTTTTGGGTAAATATGTCCTAGGGCAGGTAGAAAAAAGGTTTTTAGAGGAATTTTCTAGAAATGGATTTGCTGGGCTGTAGGTTTGGGGCATCTTCAACTTTACTAGATGATGCCAAACTGTTTTCCAAGATGGTTGTACAAATTAAACACAGTTCATGAGAGTACACTGCTGATCACTACTTGGTCTTGCCATACCTGTTAGTTTTTATCCTCCTGGGGATTGTGTGAGCTTCACCCAAGCACTGGGCACTGCTCCAAACTCGAGTGTGACCCTCACAACAGCCCTGAGACATCAGTGTCATCATTCCCATTTTACAGATGAGGAAGCAAAGGTCCAGCTGGTTTAAATCATTAGCACATTGTTGTTGTGTTGGAATTCAGGCTCAGGTCTGTGCATTCAGAACCTATGCTTATTCTGCAGTGTCATATGCTAGCTCTGGAAATGTTTGTGGGCCCGTGTGCAGTATCAGTGGATAACTATGAGCCTCTTGGGGATGGAACTCCCTTGAGGAGCTTAGTGCCATGACCTCAGTCCTTGGTGCACATCAGAATCACGCAGTCACCATCCTAAACCCACCAAATCAGAATTGACAACAATGGGGATCTAGACAATGCAAAATGGTATCTTGTTAGGGTTTTAATTTGCATTTGCTTGTTGACTAATGACATTGAGCATCATGTCATTAACTTACTGGTCATTTGAATTTTCTTTGGAGTCTGTTCAAGTCCTTTGCTCATTTAATTGGGTTGTTTGTCTCATTGATTTGTTAGAGTTCTTTGTGTATTGTGGATATAAGTCCTTTATAGTATACGTGTTGCAAATGTGTTATCTCAGTCTGTGGCTTGTCTGTTCATTTTTCAAGGTGTCTTTTGAAAAATAGAACACTTTAGTGTTGATGAAACCCAAATGAGCATTTTGTTTTTGTTTTATGGTGTATCTTTGTCTATCTCAAGGTGGGAAAGACTTTCTGTTATATTGGGTATGTGCATTTTTAACACATTTCCCAGTTGGTTCTGCTGTGCACCAGAGGTGGAGAAGCCTGGGTATAAATGGTTACCCTAGGTTTGGGGTCAGATCTGAGTTTGACTTCCAGGTTTGCCACTTAGTGAGCAAGTCACTTTGTCTCTCTGAGCTTCAGTTTCCCTATCTGCAAAATGAAGCAAAACTAGGGCCCATCCCCAAAATTTGTTAGAAGGGTTCAATGAAATAAAGCTCAAGCAGAACTTAGCAAAATGCCTAGTGTGCAGAAAATGCTCTGTAAAAGCTGTTTTTGTTTACCTACTGGCTAGTTTCAAGCAGCGGGATGGAATAACGTGGTTTGTTGTTTGTTTTCAGTACATCAAGTCCTTCTACAATGAATCATGGGAAAGAAGACACGGGCATCCAATAGACCCAGATACTCTGACTCTGCTCTGGTCTGTGACGGTGTCCATATTCGCCATCGGTGGACTCGTGGGGACTTTAATGGTGAAGCTGATCGGAAAAGTTCTTGGGAGGTTAGCGGGGGTTGTCTCTGCTTGGGGATCCTCTCTGTGATGTTCACAATATGTTGGTATCATAGTCAAGATCCCAGAAGGCAAACGAATTCCACTTAGACATTCCAGCTGGGGATGTTTTAGTACCAGAAGAGCAAGGGGAGGAGATAAGGCACGCGAGGTCAGGGAGGAAATGAAGACCATGGACAATGGGCTGAGAAGCAGGACCTGAGGTTGGGGAAGGCTATGTGGACTGGGATATGTCAGCACCTATGGTCCAAACAGGGACGGAGTCGGGCAGAAATAGCCTGGCTTCTTTCTCCTCCCACCGTCCAACCTGCTGCCAGGGCCACTCATTGGCCAAACCCAATGGCCAACTCATTGGCCACTCATTGGCCAAACCCAAACCAGAAACACCAGCTGGCTTGCTGGTACAGTCCAGGAGGACCAGCTCCCAGTGCTCAGAGCAGGACAGGGAGGGAGGAGATGGATCTGGCTGCAGGAGCAGATGGAGAAGAGTCAGCACAGTGTCTTAGTGATTGTTCCAGATAAGTCCTCATAGGACGACGTTTCATTATATGACTGAATGATAACTTACTAAACCAGTCTCCCGTGGATAGACATTGGGGTTGTTTCAGATCTTTTGTTTTACAAATACAGCTGCAGTGAGTGTCAAATACTTCACATTGAAATTTCCCATCCGGGTCCTCTGCAGTCAGAGCCACTTTACCTCCTGAGCTTCATTTCTCACTTATTTCTGTCCTGAAGACTTCTCTGAGATCAGATTGATTATCAGTACATTTGCCCATACATTTTTCTCTGTTTCTTCACTTGTAACTTCCTGGGGGATATTGAGGTGTTAGGGGAAAAATAGAGTCTCTGCAGTATTCATGACATCTTCCTTGACCCTAAGGCCACTTCTAGGTGGTAGGTAACACATGGGAACTCTGCACCCCAGAGAAGTACAGCTATTGCAGAGTGGAGTGAGGGCTGCCATTTCCCGAGGTCCCCTAACGTTCCAGGTACGCACATACACGGTCTTCTTTCATTTTCTCTACTCCCTGGGATCTTGGATGGGGGATGGAGTTGAAAGCTTAAACGGTGCCTGAGCTCAGGTTGGACCCAGCTCCACAGCACGGTGCCCCTTCCACTATGCCGAGCAGATCGTGAGTAGGGGTCTGCTGGCAATCGTACTATAAAATCCGTGACTGTTTGACCACAGGGAAGTGACTAGCTGGGCCCCAGATTGCTAAACCCCTGGCCCAAGCCAGTTTCTGACCCCAATCCTCTGGTCTATTCTAGTTAGATATAGTCACCCCTGGCCCCTGGATTTATGGCCTGTCACATACACCTGCCTTATATCTGGCCATGGCACTTATAGCCCCAGGCTGCCCCCTAAGGAGGCTCTGAACCCAAGCGGATGGTACAGGGACAGCCACAGTAGTCGGGGTCAGGATGCTGTGGCCCAGCAAGTCCTGACACCCAGCTTGCCAGGTGTGTGGTGGGGGACTTTGCCCTCTCACCTCTCATCCAACACTTTTCCCGGATGTAAAATGAAGGCAACGAAAGTGGCTTTGCAACTCTAAACAGCATGGTGCAAAAAAACCCCGGAAGGAATGGGAAAGAGACAATATGTTTCAAAGAAAGTGATTTTCTAAGTGAAGGAGGAGTTCTAGGCTGGAGAGAGATTCTATCAAAAGGTGTTGGTCCTTATGCCCCGGGTAGCTGGCTGTTCCTTTTTTCATCATTACAGGAATAAAAGTTGAACTGAGATGAAGTCTCGGCTTGAATAGTAACCCTGTTGGGAGGAAAAGGAGCAAAACCCAAAGAAGTCTGCTACCATTTATTCACTCCCTGCTACATACAAGTGCTTGGCATTCCATACCTCCTTTACTTCTGCAACTCTGTATTATTGTCCCTGTTCTACAGGCGATGAATCTGAGGCCCCGAGAGAGGCCTAGCAACTTGCCCAAGGTGACAAAGAATGAGGTTGACCTGAGATTCAGACCTGGCCTGTTTGACCAGAGCCTGTGATTTTCCTATCACATGGTATTTATTGAAACTGCTTCTTGATGCCTCATTGTTTGTCTCCCAGGGGGGCTGCTGGGGAGAAAGAAGAGACTGGGCTTAATGTGCAAGGTTGGGATGGGGTCCGACAGAAGGGGCTGAAACATGTGACTGGTGAGGGGAAATTTGGGTGGAGTTGGGGTCCTCAGAGTCAGGTGGGCCTGGTCACCAGCAGGTCCAGCAGGGGCCTGATCCTTGTTAGAACATGTTGAACTCGTCTGTGATTTGGGAGAGGGGTGAGGACAGGGGAACATGAGGGGCCAGGAATGGTCTCTGGAGATGAGTCACCCCCATTATCTGGGGTGCAAGTTCCTTGTCTCCTGGAGTCTCTGGCTTGTAGAATTCTGCTTGAATCCTCCCCTCTTTTGGAGTCATCGGTCCCTTGCTTACGTGGTTCTAGTGACAGAGCCCTTCTTCCCTCATGAGACAGGATGGTGACAATGTGCATGGATGCTGGGTAGAGGATCCTTGACACTTACAGCACAGGGGGCCACATATGAGTTACTCAAGTTCTCCAAGCTTGGCTTGGTTAGTGGCAAAATGAAGATAAAGCAATGGCCCATCTGAGGGTTGTCATGAAGATGAAATGAGACGGTGGATATAAGTGCACATCTCAGTGGTTGACATGGTGTCGATGCCCACCTTATGTTGGTTAGTGTCATTGTCATCTTTGTCCCCAACCTCATGAGCTCTTTCTGAGGTGCATCAGCCCATCACTCACAGAGCCGGTTGTGAATATGTTCTTCTAGTTGCACTGAAGTTGGCCTCCTTACACTTAGCATTGGATCTAGTTTTTCCCTCTAGAGCAGAGCAGAGCAGAGCAAATAACCGGAGGAGAAACTCACTTGGGCTTTGAAATCGGATCCTCAGGCATATTCTTGAGCAAGCTGCATAACCACATTCGCCCATGCGGCAGATACTTTTGAACACCAACTGGGAGCCAGGCACTGTGACTGGCACTTGGGCCTCAGCGACAAACAGCGGAGCCTGAGCCCACTGCCTAGCCATGAACAATTCACTCTGCACATCATCATGGCGTCATCATGGCGACCGGAAGCACTGTAGATGGGGGGATGGGGAGTAGAGATACAAGAAGAGGCAGTTTTAAATCTGTAAAGCTCTGGTAAGCAAGCCCACCTAAGGGAGCGGCTGGGGGGGTGGCAGAAGATACTATTTACAGAATGTGTCATGTCACTCACACCTGTGACAGGAACCCAAACCAAACTGGCTCGGGCCCAGACAGAACTAACTGGCTCACGTAACTGGAGTATAACTCAGCTGACTTCACCTGTCTGTCTTCTCTGTCTCTCAGCTCTGCCTTACTCTGTGTTGGCTTCAGGCACACAGGGTCTCTCCCTGGTGAGGGCAAGATGGCCCCAGCAGCTCAGGGTGACACTGTTCCTGCATCCTGTATCCCCAGCACAGACTTCTCCTAACAGTAGTTCTAGTAAAGTCCCAGGCCTGGATCTCATTTACTTGTGTGAGGTTGCATACCCTTGGAGCTTCTCAACCAGGGGCAATTTTGCCCCAACAGGGGACAATATCTGGAGGCGTTCCTGGTTGTCACAGCTATAGGGTGCTACCAGCATCCAGTAGAGGCCAAGGAGGCTGCTAAACATCCTGCAGTGCACAGGACAGCCCCCACCACAAAGAATTTTCTGGCCCCAAATATTAACAGTTCCCAGGTAGAGAAATCCTGGCAAATAACATTCTAAATTTAACTTAAAATTACTGTATCATGTGCCCATTCCTACAGCCACAGTGGGGTGGGGATGTGACCACCTCGAGCCCCCACACAGAGTGAGGGCAGGAATGTTTCTTGGCAGAAATCCAGGGAACTCCCATCAGAAGAAGGATGATGGGTATTGAACAAGAAGTAATAACCAGCCTCCTATACATCATGCTAGGCAAATAGCAGGTTCTCAAAAGTGTTATTTTTCTCCTCTTTTTCTACTTCAGTATTTTTAAATGTGTCTTTACTTTATAGATGTGGGAATGAACATTAGCTCTCGAGGTACCTACTGGGGGAGACTGCAATGTACATGGCAAGCACGTACTAGGCTTGAACAACAGAAATTTCTTCTCTCACAGCTGGGGAGGCTGCAAGTCCAAGATCAAGATGGCAGCAGGGTTGGTTGCTCCTGAGTCCATTCTCTTTGGCTTGCAGGTTGCTCTCTTCTCACACGGTCTTTTTCCCCATGCAAGAGCATGCCTGCTGTCTGTTCTTCTTACAAGGACCCCAGTCCCATTGGATTAGGGCCCCACCCTTAGGACCTCATTTAACCATAATTATTTCCTTGAATGCCCAATTTCCAAATACAGTCATGTTGGGGGTTAGGGTTTCAAGAGAGGAATTGGCACACAATTCAATCCATAATAGAACACATTCAGTGGTTGCTGACCATCTCCTCTTTCAGGCTGGAATTGTCTTAAGAAAGCAAGTTCCCCAGAAGCAGCCTGCAAGGGGGCTTGGGATGCACGTGTTTTGTTGAGGAAGGGCTCTTCAGGAGTTCCCTTGAAGCTGATGGAAGCAGAAGAGAGAAAAGGGGAAGAGAGCCAAGCCAGGCTGTGCTCTCAGATCCAGTCTGGCCTTGGCTGGCCTACAGGGGTCTGGAGCATGAATCATACCCAGGAGCTGTCCCATCTGGGGCCACATTCTCCTCCCACCTCTATCCAGTCATTGGCTGCAGGCTGCTCTGGGGGAGGGGCATCATCTTCCTGGGTGGGCAGTCTTTAGGAGAAGGGCCAGCCAGGAGCCTTGAGCAGCCACATGCACAAAGCGGGGGATGAGGGGGAGAGCTGAGGGACAGAGAGGTACCTGCTGGGACTCCTGATACTCCACCTCCATCCTGTCAGCCTTGGAGCCTTGCCATGCCCTGTGAGGGTGGCAAGGACTCTGCGAGAAGGAAGCCGTCCTGGGGTTCAAGGCAGACGATAAGGAGAAACACTGGGCG